CTTAGGGAGCTCGGACCTAACAGGGAGCTCGCTCTTAACAAGGAGCTCGGGCTCCTAGTAGGGAGCTCGGACTTGGGGAGCTCGGGTTCTTAGGGAGCTCAGACCTAACAGGGAGCTCGCTCTTAACAAGGAGCTCGGGCTCCTAGTAGGGAGCTCGCTCTAAATAAGGAGCTCGAACCCTTAACAGGGAGCTCGCTCTCAACAAGGAGCTCGGACTAAGTACAACGGTCTGGAGTTCGGGTTTGGTAGTGAGCTTGGACTTGCTTCCGATATTCGCTTTGGGTGCTCTACTGTCTCGAGCTGCTTGTCTTTGCCACGTGTCGGGTGATCGCGAGGTCGGGCCAAATTTCCCTTCATCAGTATACATCAAAATTCATATAAAATAAAATTTTAAGACATTTTTTTAATTTTTCTATTTTGTTAATTTACTTAAATTCTTTATTATTTGTTTCAATTTTTTTAAATATCCTCTCATGGCTTGGCCCAGTCTGCGGCCCGGTTTAACCCAAGGCTTGGCCCGTGACATGGCATGGGCCTGCATGGACTTGAGTCATGCTGAGTTGACCTCTTGAAGTATCCCAAGGGAGGGAAGCACAATCCTTGTCGTGAACCACCCATAGGTCGTGTTGTGACAACCTAGCATGACCTGGTTTACACCTCTATTGAACTTGAATTGGGATTTACTCCACACAAAGCACTCCTCACACCGACCTCACAGTCACATCACACTATGTATTGGGAACATCTCCCCATGAACATCATTTAATGTTGGTGTCACAAATTTGGATTTGCGCTTCATAGAGCGCACCTCACACCAACCTAACAACGCATCGCATCTATGCATTGGGAACTACCCATGAATATCAAGCCCATCAAATGTTCTCCATCCATGTTTGAAATGCATCGTGGGGTTGGTGTGAGGCATGCTCTGTGATGAGCAAATCCGATCTCTAGTGTCAAATGGGGTAGAGATTTGCTACTAATCAAACACTCCCAACACTATCCCAACCAGCCATTGCAGCAGTACATTAGGGAATTCACATCTACGCCCCATAGAGGGTGCCCCATAGCATATACCAACCGTTATCGGGAACATCTCCTTCGTCACTCTTGGGTAGATGTTCCTAGGGGTGGATTCGAGCCAAATACTTGGCTATTCGAGTTCAACTCACTGAAATTGTGTTAGGCTTGAGCTCAATTTGAGCTAGAGACTTGAGCTTGGCTCGGTTCAAATCTTGCAAGTTCAAGCTCAAGTACAAGCCAAGTTTTTTTCTCAAAAAAAATTATAAATATATTTAAAAATATTTTTTATTTTACATGCAAAATATTAAGAATTATAAAAATTATTTATTATTATACATATAAAAAATAAAAAATATACATATAAAAATGTTTTTATTTTATATACAAAAAATAAGAATTATAAAAATTATTTACTATTATACATAAAAAATAAAAATATTATTATATATAATAAAAATGATTTATTATATATATTTATATATTTATATGTATATGTATATATATGTGTATGTATGTATGTATGTATGTATGTATATAATACAAAATTATTTATTTATTATACTAGGCTCGATTAAGCTTACAAGTCTCATAAGTTGAGTTTATTGGGCTCAAGTTTGGCTCGATTAGCAAATGAGCCTATATATATCAAGCTCGAGCTTGATTTAAACCGACCCAGACAACGAATCTAATATGATCTTAGTTTTCATGGCCTGACCATCCAATCTGGTCTAAGACCCATTTGGTTTGCAAGAATAGGGGCCTGGAATCCGAATAGCCCAACTGTTTGGTCGGGTAGAATTAGAATTTCATTCTCATTTCTGATGTAATGTATTCCCCTTCAAAATGAAATCCCATTTCAACTAATTTCAATTCCAATTCTGATTTCTGTATGATAAAAATAAATTATGAAAATAGACCATTCGGATTTTAATTCTAAAAGATCTTGATTCTGATTTCGATTACACTGCAACTAATAACGATGAAAATATTGAAATTTCTAGGAGAGTCCACCTCTTCGGTTAGTGATGTGTTTTCTCCACTGTAATTTTGCAACGACAGACCAAGTTTTGGACGGTGTGCCAATTTTTGAAATGGACTCAGATTTTACAGGTGGCCTGATTTAGGTAACAACCTTCAATATGAATGGACCGGGCCTTCCACATGGCAACAAATTTAACCATGTCAAATCATAAGTGGCTCAACCAACGGGGACCTAATAGCTGCCCCTCCAAGTAGATGCAGCCAGCAATTGCTGGGACTCTCATAGGGTGCAAGTTAGGCCAGATTAGATTGGGTTGGGATCGAGTGGGTCCAGATTGAGTTCAGGTTAGCTAATTCTTTTTGGGCAATTATAACTGTTGAAATCTTCCTTAAAGTTTGATAATTGTATTCATCTTTCCTGAATTTTATGACAGTTGCAAATAGACCCCCTTTGTTTGAATCTTCTAACAAGAGACAAAAAAGTGTCCAAAATATACCTATGCAATTATTATTAGGCTGATTTCTACAGAAAAAAATTACAAACTTTACAAACAACAGAAAAAATAAGAGAGAGCTTAAAATTGCAGTCTTCCCTTTCCTTTGAGCGATTTATATGAAAGATAAATTTGGAAAATAAATCAATTTCAAAAAAGTGATCCAAAGGGTTTGGAGTAATAATTGATATGATGAGAAAATTTGGAAAATACACATTTTGATCAAAAGTAAATATATGGGTATTTTAGACATTTTCATTCCTCTTGTTAGAGGATTATAATAGAGGGGATCTACTTGCAACTATATTAAAAAGTTCAAGGGAGGTGATTTCAATTACCAAACTTCAAGGATTTCTGCAATAATTAAAAACTTAAGGGGAAGTTTCCACAATTTACCCTTTCTTTTTTTTTTGAAAAATGTTCTCACCTCTTAAATTTAGGACTAATTAAGATCAGAACTACAAAAAAGTGTAATGTAGTTGTAATACATTAAAAAGCTGGCTTAAGGCTGTGTTTGATTGTGGTAGAAAAATCCCAGATTGAAAAGTAAGTCGATTGGTTTAAAATATGAATGGACGATTAGGGGATTTTTGATGTGAGAGTTGATGTAAATATACGACGATAAGAGCGATGTATCATTTACATCGATTTATGATGGAAAAGTCAGTTGATTAAATGTTTTACATCGATTTTCAATGTAAACTTTATATTGAAAACAAATGTCTAAAAAGTGGATCAGGTGTGGAGTTTTACACCAGCCCACTTTTACATTGGAAACAAATGCATATAAATATGAACAAACAGTGGAATTTTACATCGATTCGGATTTACACCGCAATCAAATACAACCTAAAAAAAAAAAAGTTGTTGTTACTAACGGCCAATGCACCACAATCATA